CAGTTGTTTTTTGTATTAGTCATATAAATTTAAGTACAGGCTCAACTCAATTTAAGGCTGTGTTTGCTTAAATAATTTCATATTAATTATTGCCCGCGACTTTGTTCGCATGATAAGTCAAAGTGGGTATCAAAGGTAGCCTGTGTCCGTCCCCAGGATGCAATTTATGTCCTTGCCAAATTTTATTGAAATTTTTTCATCGGTTAAAGTTGAAAAAGTAATAGGCTAATTGATAATGTTTTCTTAGATTTAGGCAAATATTTAACATTTATAGATATAATAAAATTCTGAGTCGAATTTATACATTACATATTTATTGGAAAATCTTATTGATGACTATTATCGATATAGAAGCCGAATCTATAGTTTGTAGATTTTTTGTCTGTATGTCTGTGACCCATCACGACAAACCCCCTAGACAGACTTTGATGAAATTAGGTATGATGATAGCTGGTTATCCGAGTCGACATATAGGATACTTTTTACTGCGGGAAAAACGGTAAAAACTTTTTTTGGTTCCCGAAGTTTCGAATGCTTAACCGCAATCATAGTACAGTCTCTCCCGTGACCATTGAATTACTATCACATTTATGATATAGTATATAGTATATGGATGTTTCGATAACATTAATTATTTTTACCCAGAAATGCTGTCTGAAGCTTTTATCAAGTAATCAATGAAAGTAAATGTAATTTATGAAGGACTAGCATTGCCCGCGGCTCTGCCCGAAACTAAACTAAAAACCAAATCTTAGATTTTACATATTAATATACTCTTACAATGCAGTTTTTGTATATTTTCTCAGAAATTAGATATTTTTCCGCGGTAAAAAGTATCCTATTTTTTGTTACAATTTTATTGTATATATAGATTTAGGAATTTATAAACATTAATATAAAGTGTTCTTATAAATAAGTACTAAAACAATATCTACGCCCGTTTCCGAATCTCAACAATGTTCCTATCACTAGATATAATATGCACTGAACTAATAAAAGCAATTAATAATGATAAAAAAGCATCAAGCGAAAGGATCATTAAAGTACTATAAAAAAGGAAGGGCTTTATATGAGCGTGTGTGTAAAGAAAACGCTTAGCAAGTAGTCTATGAAGTTGCCATACATAATATGAAAATAATCATTGACAAATAATTTATACTTTTAACCAGTAACTATGATTAAATTCTAATAGATATATAAATACAGACACATTCTAGCTCGCTTTGCGACTTTTTAATAACTTCTTGCAACAAACTGCTATCCCACGGGATCAATTCATCTGGATATAAAGTTATTTTTTACTCTGTAACCTATAGACTCTTTCCAAAAAATTATATATAAAAAAACAATATTTTTTATTCAAATCGACTTTAACGAGCAAGTACTTGAATCTTCCTAATTTCTTACTTGGAATAAAAGTCAGTATTGTATGTCCGTGAGGAAGCACCAGCTCCGAAGGCTATAATGCAGGAACCAACGAGAATCTCTAGAATCGCTCTTTTAAAAATTTACCGACCCATTCAGTATGAAAGCACGACAAACAAACAAATTCACAATTAATAAAAATAAATATACGACATTCACGCGTAAAAAGAGGAAGGCATAGATTGTATGGTGGTTACTATCCTTCTGAGCTTCGCAACTTCCATATTTTATTTCTCAAGAGTAATTAAGCTGCTTATTTTATGGAATTATGAATTGTAAATTGAAATTACCATAATACAGAGTATTGTTCTGTATTCATAGAGGAATATTTGTACATTAGTTGGTATTATATCAGAATAAACAGTTTATCTCGCCACTGTAGCGCATTTTCGGTTTAAATTATTGCGTTAAAATAATGAATAATGGATACATTATGACTTCACGAAAATTACGTTGCGATTATATAAACAAAAACAAGAATATTTTGCCACTTATTAAAAATTCTGTGTTTTTCTTGCACTTATCTATACTATTAATATTACGAGTATAAATATGAAAATAAGTCTGTTTGTTATCTTTTCACGTTTAGAGCGCTGAACAGATTACGACATAAATTGCATCCTAGGGGCGGACATAGGGTGCCTATGTTCCCGCCTTCACTTACCACGCGAATGAAGCCGCGTGTAAAAACAAGTTATGTAAAGATTAAATAATAATATTTATCGAAATAAAATTACAGATACTGTTTAGAATTTATAATCTACTTGATTATTAAACAGTTCATAAATTAATTCATAGTATGAAATTGTTTAATGCCTCAATTAATTAATAATGATAATGTTCTTCTAGCCGATTCCGGCCACTGCGGCCAATCTCATTGAGACTAGCCAACTGGGCAGGAGATATTATAGTGCACAAGTGTACGCGCAGACACAAGTGCATTCTCTATTCCTGTCACTCTCATACTCCGGTGGGACGACCACTCGACACGACCAGTGAGAGTCAAGGCGCAGGACCGACGGCTTTACGTGATCTCCGAGGCACGGGGGTGAAACACCGCCAACTTCCCAGCTCCAGGCTGTTACTGAGACTTACTATACAGAAAGAATCAATAACTAAACTTGGCCCGACCCGGGACTCGAACCCAGGACCTCCGAGTGTGCAGCCGTACATACTGGCCACTACACCACCGATGCAGTCAAATTTGTTAATTAATAATATCCTAGACAACGCGACATCTAGTTAACTTAAATTAGAAAGAGTAAGAAATAAAGCTAGATTTAGGAGTTTAAACATAAAATATGAATGAGTAACAAAATCATACTCAAATTAAGAATGTGATTCTCCAACGATCAAGGAGTCTCCAATGGATCAAGCATTAATTAATACTTTCTTAGATTTATGCAAATATTTGAAATTTTAAATAAAACTATCTTTCCGGAAAGATTGTCTCTCACGGGAGATCGGGAGCATGATTGCTATAAAACATTCGAAACGTCAGGAACCACAAATAAAACAAATTCACGAGAACATCCGAAAAGATAGTCTTATTTAAAAGGATCAAGCATTTAAAATATTTTCGAACTAAATCGAACTCAAAAAATCATAATGGAAGAAGCGTGTAAAGTGTAAAAATCGTACTTGTAGCTCTTGGCTTTCTATATGTGAACGTGAAAGCGCGAAAATATATACCTAAAAAGAAAACAGTATATTACGTATATATGTGTAGGTAAAAACAAAACATTTTAATACATTATCTCTACTATAATATTATAAGAGGCAGAGTTTCTTTGTTTATTTATCTGTTTGAACGCGCTAATCTCAGGAACTACTTATCCGATTTGAAAAATTATTTTTGTATTAGATAGCCCGTTTATTAAGGAATGCTATATAATATCTATTCCATACTAACCGTTAAAACGTACCTAGGGACAAAGGGAGCGAAGGGAGGGTGAGCCGCCAGTATATTATAAAAAAGCTTTTGTTGATTACGTTCACTCGTAAATATGTACCTATATGTAAATCTGTAGTAAACGATTATCGTTCAAAGAACTTTTTTGCATCGTATTAAATTGTTCCATTTTTTTTTCACTACATTTAATGCATTCTTTATTAGTCGTAAATGCAAATTTTTAATTTTACGACAAAGTCTAGACTGCCTTTATGTTTAAAGAAATTTTTATTCTATCTGCGTGTATAGTTTTATGAGATCGTTTTAAGAAAATGCAAAGCTTACCAAAATTATGGGAACCTAAATTTTTATTCCAAGCTTTAAATTTCAGCTGAAAATGTTATATATTGTGTGCTTTAATTTTTACTATGTTGTAAAACTACGATTGTAGTAAAATATATGTGTAAAAAGGGCGAAAAGAATAGTCCCAAAAGTAAATTTAAGTAAAAGAAGATGAAACAGATACATAAAACAAATGAAAAGTACTTGTAAAATGATATTTTAGCGATCATAATAAAGATTAGCGAAATAATAGCCTACGACATCGTTATATATCAGGTTGTGGATTCCCTCTCGCTTCGCCTAACCACATTGTATTTTCATTCATAATATTATTATTTTTCGAGCTTTTTATCGACTCATTATTGTTAGTAGTTACTTCATTCTGCTATACTAAAATAAACCAATTGATGTCTTTTCATGTTCAAAATTCATTCAACCTATTCAAGGTTTCATTACAGTGGACTCGTAAAATTCAAGCTATAATAAATTAAATGAGGAGTTTTTGAATCTATATACATTTTTTTTAAATCTTATAGTTTGAAATCGAAAAAGTTAGATCCTATTGAAAATCTAGTGGGAGATTTAGTGGGGAAAGAGAGAGTATATTGTATTATATTAGATTTGTTTAAAAGCTTATTCGTCATCCGCATTCCGCTTTTAACTGCAATGTATAAAATGGTCAAATGAACCCAAACTCGAGCTTTTTGCTAGTTCCACCGTACACGTTCTGGCTACATCGTTAGTTTAGTTCGATGCTAAGTATAAAATTAATTTATTGTAATCCGGATTTCACATACTTATATTTTTCAATCAATTTTTACAACAATAATAATTAGAAGCCGAATAAAATTGATATCTAGGATCGGATAGTATATTATAGTTAAAAGTGAAGCTGATACTCATGAAAGTTGCTGAGAAGTGACGTCAATCAGTTTAAACCTTTGCCTTTACCGTGTGAAAAAAGGAAAACTCGATATATATCTCCAACATAGGTACTTGGGTCTCTTAAAAATAACAAGATAAATGTATGTATGTATGGAAGTCCGCCAATCCGCACTTGGCCAGCGTGGTGGACTACGGCCTCATTCCCCTCGTATAGAACGGAGGCCCGTGCCCAGCAGTGGGACGTTAAAAAGGGCTGAATACATACATATATGCATACATACAAAAGTTATTAAATATGCATTCAGAATTTGTTAGTCACGTAAAAAGAAGTGATTTATATTTTACAAAACTATTTCGTTTTATGCTGTACAAGGTACATCAATATTGGCTTATGCAATTTTCATTTTGTAGCTACTACAGGATTTATTTGTAAATCCAAAATCCCGTTGCTTAATTACATATTCATATAAAATTTTAGGACGCATGTTCGAAAAACCACTCGCAAACCGCAACGTACTCGTAACTCCATAGCGAATAATTTTGTGTACAGTCTACACCATGCATTATATATGTATAACATATAGACAATTACAGTAAACGGCCCCGCAACAAGAGATCGCATCGTATCTGCTTGCACCTTAGCTGCTTCGGCTTGTGCTCGCGTAGACTCTGCCATAATAAGAGCAGCCTCTGCAAGCTTGGTCTCTGCATCAACTCTGCGATTCTCTAGTCCTTTTACCCATTCTGGGTCAATTTTAGATTGAACTGAAATAAAATAATATTTTAATTTTATTCAAAACAATACAGTAAAGCATTCATTATTATTATTAAACAAAATTTTCTAAAGTGATCTTACCTGTAGTTTTAGATTTATAAGGGCTATTAAGTCTTCGTGGGCGATAGATATGTGGTCGCGCCACTGGACTATCTAATCCTGTAAAATAATATGATTATAGCTTTTTTTTAGTTTTAATTATCGCTACCAAATTGTTAGTGGCGCTAGTTACATCGCGAAAACTGCATTTGGCGATCAGCGAACGATTAGCGAGCGATCGCTTAGGTAATACGATTATTTTTCACCTAGAGCAATCAATCGCGCGTCTTCTGCGCAATGACTGCACAATTATCGCTGATCGCTTAATTTTAGATAATAAGCCCGCCGTTCTCTCGTGCTACGAAACGTGCGATGCATGCTATGTATGCAATTACACATATAATTTTATTTCATAAATACTTTTTGATAAAATTGGCTTAAGAGAGGGTCAGTGTGGCCGTTTACGTCGTATTGCGTATCTTCATTTGAAGAACCTAAACGAACTACTGTAAATATATACTACATACACGTGTATGTGTGTTTACGTCTGTATGTTTGTATATATTACTGCTGCATGCTAATTAGCTGGATGAATTTATATGAAATTCAATACACAAATAGACTGTGGAGTACTACATAGGCTACTATTAAGCACTCGAGCAAAGTGAGGGTAAGCTGCAAGTGATAAAATAATATATAATTTTAGTTAAAACAACGGTAAGAATGCATTTACTTATCTCCTGAATCTATCATTGTGTGTTGTATTGAACTAATCCTTCATGATATAGAAAATATTTATTTTATTGTATGAGAATTAAACTCTTTGCAAAGGCCACTCGTACTTTACCATATTTATTTTACTTTCACATCACTTATCACTCATTTAATACAATCACAAATTTCATAATTTATATTATAAGAATTTACATTATGACACCTTTAGCTTTCTGCTTTACTTCAACTCACTCCAGAAAATACACTGCCTTTCTTTGTACAAATTCCTCTTTTATACCTTACAATTTTTCCACTTCCATATATTTAAATTAAAGGGTATACAATTTTTGGTGCTGCCATCTCTACAAGCTTGGCAGGAAATAAGTATTTTATTTGACTCTAAATAATAGTGATAACTACATTTATTCTATTCTCATACTAGTAAGAATTCATAATATTGCTAACAATTGAAATACTCGTAGTGTTGGGATTCGTTTGATAAATAAGAACGCCTTACTTCCAACAACAATTACTCTCCTTCCTCTGAAGAGGTTCATCTTCAGAGGAGTGGCGCCATGAATATTGTGAGGTATATAGCCATAAATACATAAACTACACAAGACAGTGGTAGCCCAGTGATGACGCGCTCGCTTGGGAAACCGAGTGAAGCGAGTTCAAATCCCGGGTCTCGCACCTCTGATATTTTCATGTGCGAATAATTTCCAACATGATTACCACTTGTCTTAATGGTGAAGGAAAACATCATGAAGAAACCAGCATGTCTGAGAAAACCTAGCAAGTTTCCAAAAGACATGTGAAGTCTGCTAACCCGTACTTGGCCAGCGAGGTGGATTATGGCCTGATTCTCCTCGTACTGAAGGATGGGCCGTACCCAGCAGTAGGACGTTAAAAGGGGCTTGAATACATATAAGCTACAGTGCTACTTATCATTAGACTGGCCATATGTTCATTTGCCACCTATGTGTTAGGAGCAAAATGAGCCCACATTCTAAAAGCTTACAAATATTATTTGAAGAGAAAGCATCCACCTACTGACTTCGTTAACAGATCAGTTCGATGATTGCAAATTATTGTATTATCTTCTAAATAACATACGCTAACATGATTTCAACTTCAATGGAGTGAAAGGCTTGAGTCACATTCATAGATTTTTTAAGATACTTAGTTACTTTGTTATACATAGGTAAATCCAATAAAAGCATTTAATAAGATTATGTTTCTATGCCGCTTTAAAAATATCTTTAACGTTCCTGAAGAAAACACCGCCAGAGTTAAGTGTCTGAGATCGTATAAACAGATGTACACTTTTCTGAAATATTTGTTTATATAATGGTATAGCTTTACATAATATGTTATTTCATTAAAACTTGAACTAGTTTTAACTTAAAAGAATTTTTAATCTTGAATTTTTTATAACATAGTTTTTTTTATAAATATTATTATTATATTAGTTTAAAGGTAACAATTAAATTTCTATAGCTTTCAGGCATGCGAGTAAAGTACAAATAAAACCCAGAAGCCGGTGGCAGGTAGTAGGCAATTCCAATTGACAGACATCTACCTCGCCTCGTCTCTACGAACAGCTGATAAATGTTGCGATAACAAATTAAATATTTTAAAACTAATTCGGAAATAACTTTAGATTGGAATGCAATCTATTAAGTTAGGTTAAATATACTTTATAAACACTGTTGAATAAAAGTTAGTCTGAAATATAATTATAATACTAAAAATTTAAATGTAGATTCGAAAAACCCACAAACCACAATGCACTCGTCACTTTAGAGAGTATAGTTTTGTGTACACACAGCGTTAAATGTACTCGCGAATGGACAATTACGGTAAACGGTCCATTTCTCTCTTGCCACATAACTTGCTATGCATCACATGCACGTATTCAGTTTTTGTGTAAAAAACGGGAATTGCATTCGTGAAAAAGATTTCATCGCCATAAAATTTTAGCCATTACTATGAATTAAAACATGTCGTAGAGTAGAATATTTTAGACAACTTAAAAGTACTAAAACTTTTATTCGTAAAATGATAAAACTACAGTCTAATCTACAGTTTTTAATATTTAAGCACATATTATTGTTATGATTGGAAGATGGATATTGGAAAAGTGAACTACCTCATATTATACAAAGAGAAATTTAATAAAAATATAAAAAAAAAAACATAAAAACGGATTGGTGGAATATGTTTTTGACAATTAGTTATATTCTCAGAAATCCAAATTTATTTAATTTTTAAAAAGGGGTAACCATATTGAAATTATCTATACATATAATAAAATTGTAACTAAGCCGAATCTGTACATAAAATATTTTTTGGAAAATCTTATTCAAATAAACATTATCGTCGATACAGAGGCCGAATCTATAGTTTTTATAATTTTTGTCTGTCTGTCTGTCTGTCTGTCTACCTGTCTGTTACCGCATCACAGAAAAACTACTGGAGGGATTTTGATGAAATTTGGTATGGTGATAGCTGATTATCTGGGTCAACATATAGGATAGGATACTTTTTACCGCGGGAAAATATCTAATTTCTGAGATAAAATACAAAAACTGCAATGTAAGAGTATACTAATATGTAAAACCTAAGAATTTGGTTTTTGGACATCTGAACGCGGGTGGAGCCGCGGGCAATGCTAGTTCATAAATAAAATTATCAGAGTTGCGAGTTTGAACGCGCTTAGTATTTTTATTAGAGCATATTACTACTGGGCTGCCACTGCATAATAATCCATCATTGACGTCAATATTAACACACGGAAAATTAAACAATAATTTATTGATAACCACATCCTTCTGGCTTACATTAAATAACTTTAAAAGCCTTTTGGCTCTATAATAACGGCTTCAATCAGATTACAGAAGTGAAGCGCACTGTTGCACAAATAAATGAAAAAGAAATATACAAAATAAAATTAACTAAGATATTTTTACTTTACATTATTAATATAAGAATTGCGATTTTTTCACAACCCAGTGCCTTACTGGAACGAATTCAATAATAGTAATAAAGAATTTACATGAAACTAATTTATTTAAATTGATTTGATTATTAATTAAAACGTAATTCAAAATTTAGTATATTTAAGCTATCAGCATTGGAAAGTTTCTCAGGAATGAAGTTTTATATATTATCAATTCACTAACTGTATGGATTAGAGACAATATACTGTATAAATTTCTCCTTGTTATTCTTATCTTATTCCATCGCGGACATAGCAAGAATTTTACTACAGTATTAATATTTCAGGCCATATTAAGCAAACTTGAACAAGACAGAAACCTTCAACTAAGGGACGTACCGTTTTTATAATTCACAAATTTAACTGTCGAGAGACTAAAATAGCTTGAACAATGAAGATAAATTCAGGAAATACCGCGATGCTAGAGGTAATGTATTCTAATATGAAAGTTTCTCGTGAAGAAGATCGTAATAAAATACTCAAACGGTACGCAGTATATAATTTTCGAAACATATTTCCTTGTAGTGGTTTAATTTTTTGATAAATTTAGTAGTTTATTATCTACAACCAAACTTAGAGATCTATGTAATTTTGTACATTTTTATATATTACATAAGTCGTGTATTTAACTACTTCAAATCAAAATATACTTAATTCAAATAGACTTTTACAAGCACTTTTGAACTTTTACAAGCACTTTTTTCACTGGCTATTTAAAAATGTATCGCTCTTACAAAGATATGCATATATTGGAATTCGAAGATTCAATACGCAATGTGAATCAGTCAGTCTTTAAGCATTTTTATAAAAATGCCGAACTAACAAGTATTTTTGGCTATTCATAATATTTTTATAAAAAACTTTTTTTATTTTGAACTTTTTAAATAAAACTATCTTTTCTGATTATTTCGTACATTTATTTTGATTTTTGGTTCCCGACGTTTCGAATGCTTTTCAGCAATCATGGTCACGAGAGACTAAGGTTATAGACATCTCAATGGCGTTATATACTTGTTACAGACACTGCCTACCCACTATTTTACAAAAATGATTTTTAAGTCATTTTTGAATAAAATCTAAAACTTCAATATTATCTAACATTGAAAGTTTAGATTTTATCAAAATAAAACTTCTTATCTTTTATCTTTTATCTTTTCTATCGCGGTATACTCGATAGCTACTCGACTGGGTTAAAAAAGGTTTTATTCTGCTCGAGTAAGAACCAAAGATTGATCGTAAGATAACTCCCGTACAAAGCGTGAGCGACATTCAGTACGCGATAAACGATTTAATAATTAAAATATTTCAAAAAATAGATTGGTCAATTATACGAAAAAAAAATTATGATAATCAGCTATACTAATATTATAAAGAGGCTGAGTTTGTTTGTTTGAACGCACTAATCTCAGGAACTACTAATTCGATTTGAAAAATTCTTTTTCATTTCTTTTGCATTAGATATCCCGTTTGTCGAGAAAGGCACTATATATCATTTTCATTTAGTATATAGTCTGTCTATTCCATACTAACAAATTAAACGTACCTAGGGACGAACCCGAGCGAAACGAGGGTGAGTTTTGTAATTTTATTTAAAGACATGTACGTACTCGTATATAGTTAAGATGTATGTATATGATTTTAAATAACCAAGGTAATATGAGTATTTTTAATACATAAATATGAAAGCTTGAATAAATTGACGGCTCTTATTATAACAAGTTAAAATCCTATTAATATTTGAAGGCTAAAGCTCTTTTCTTCTTGAAATGTGCTTATGGTATTTCCTCACGTCTTGTAATCGATATAATGCACCATTCGATTGTAGCGTAGTCCCAGAGAATACGTTTGCTGAAGATTTTCAGTGAAGGATTCAATACAAAGAGCATTTATTAGTACATATTTGATCTTTTAAATTGGATAGAAGTATAAAGATTGTGTTAAATAATATCTATACATATAATAAAAGTGTAACTGATCGCTCTCTGTAAATGGAAGATGTTTGATAAAAACTATTATTGGGGGGTTTTTATTAACGTAATAGAACTCAAAATAATGATTTTTTTTATAAATTTTGTCTGTTTGTCTGTGCGTTTGTGTCTCAGAAACAGCTTAACCGATTTTGGTGCGGTTTCAACTAATGTATTGTGGTCAGCCTCACTTAACATTTAGTATTTGTTTTATTCAAATCGGTTTATAATTCAAAAAGTTATATCAATTAAAAAATCACCTAGGGACGAACCAGAGCGAAGGTCAGGATGAGTCGTTGGTATGTAATATACACAATTTCTGTAAATGTATAAAACGTCATTGTGTATGTGGTTTTTAAATAAAGAAATAATTTATAATATGCAAAGCCTCTTAGAATAATTTGATGTAGAATTTTCGCTTTAATCACGGCTGTGCGAGCGGATCATAAGTTAATGGAAATATATTATGAATACATATCTCTTCCATTAATTAATTAAAGGAAATGAAGTTTCACTTTATTGAAACTTAAAATAAAAGTTTCCTTTAATATATTTTTTATTAAAAAATGTGCTTACTATATTTAATACAAAAATGTTTGAAATTTTCAGACATATTGGATAAAAGCAATTATATTTTTTGAGCCTAAATTCAAAATCTATCTCGTAGCTGCATCATTATTTCAAACTAGCGAACATTGACTGACAAAAACAAATTTATCCCACGGGAACCATGCATTTTACCGGGATAAAAAGTAGCCTATTTGTTATTCTGATGTATGAACTAGTTATTGTAAAGTTTCATTAAAAGTCAATCAGTAGTTTCTGTGTACTAACCTGTATAAGTTACTATAGTTTTTTACCTATCACACGGTAATGCTTTAATTTTCCGGGATGAAAAGTATCTAAAATGTTGACTGGGGATCTATGATACTACTATACTATCATGCAAAATTTCATTTAAATCGATCTAACAGTTTCGGAGATTAGCCCGTACAAACAGACAAACAGGGAAAAAAAGTGAAAAAAAAACCTGCAGGCTGATTACGTATCTAGCAAACCACTCGCGATAGCGAAAATCGTACAATAATTGCTGTCCAATCGCAAAATCGTATTATGTATCGGCAATAGCGAAACAATCGCAAACAAGTGACAGTGCTTCCTCTGTCGAGCAATCGGTGAACTATATGTGCATTTTAATCTATGAAATTACGATTTTTTCGTATTAGGTATGACTCACGAGAGCAATGCGATAGCAATCAACAAGCAATATAATCTGTCAGTTTGCGATAGCCCTAGAAGTGATTTTTTGCCGATTGCTGATCTATTGTTTGTCGTTAATTTTAGGATTTTCTCTTATATTGTTATAAATGCTGCGTTTTTTATGTGTATAAAAAGTGATTATAATATTTTTAACTATTTTGGTGTTGATAAATTGTAGTAAGTGTAAAGCGTAGTTTCTGTTTACGTTACTTGTTGGTCTTTGATCATTTGCATTCGACATGGCTCGTGGTTTTCTTTTATTTGAGGCACTAGAGATTGAGAACCGTGAAAACCAACGGCGTCACAGCCGCGTTACAGCACGACTGAGACGTAGACTTCGAAATCAAGCCGAAGCTTTGGCGCTTTCTGATACTGACTTCAAAGCCAACTACAGACTTACTAAGGAGCTGTTTAAACATTTATGCTCAGAGTTAAAACCATTCATGGTTCGGTTGAAAAGGAGAACAAAAATCTCTGTAGAATGCAAAGTAAGTAAATAATAATATCGTAATGTATGCAATATTGTCCTTTATTGACTTAACAGGAGGCTTAATGTTAATATAATGTGATATTACAGGTGCTTACAGCTCTCTCATTCTATGCCACTGGCTCTTATCAGAAGCCTGTTGGCATGAGCTACTTGCATGGGCTCAGTCAAGCTAGTGTATCTAATGCTGTGAAAGAAGTGACTAGGGCATTAAATACACACAGTATACTGACCAAGTACATACATTTCCCTCAGTCTCGACAAGAAAGACAGGCAATAATAAATGGGTAAGGACTAGAAGATTTGTAAAAATTGTAGTTTCACAACTGTTTTTACTGTATGATTCACTAATTCACTTTATTTTAGCTTTTCAAATAAATTTGGTTTTCCTGGTTGCTTGGGTTGTATAGATGGTACCCATGTAGCTCTTATTAAGCCAACAGAGCATGAGGAGAGATTTTTTAATAGGAAACATTACCATTCACGAAATGTTCAAATGGTAAGTAATTCATACATATTTTTTTGTACTTATGACAACTAGTGTTGACCCCACAGTTTCACTTAAATTAAGTTCTATTTCACCCTCCAGGGATTAAATTTTAAAATATTGGTTAAAGAATGCCTACATCATAATAATCATCTATATGAAAAATTTAAATCGGTCCTGTAGTTATATCTGTGCATTGATATAAATCAGTCAGTCAGTTACCTTTTCTTTATATATTTTTAGAAAATTTTAGTCCATTATTGTATATTATAATTCATGTACACAAATCTACATAAATGTATTTTTTCTAGATATGTGATAGTGATTTAAATATTTTAAATATTGATGCATCATTTGGTGGTGCTTCACATGATGCATACATATGGAAAAATGGTGAAATTCAGAGCCATCTCCAAGAGCTTCACAGTAGAGGTGAAAATGTCTGGTTTCTAGGTGCATAGAATAACTAATAATATTACATTAAAAGAGCAATATGAATATTTTTAATAAACATCAGTAATTTACAGGTGATTCTGGATATCCACTGAGGCCATGGCTTTTAACTCCAATTGTAAATGCAGAACCTGGTAGTGCAGAAGAGCACTACACAAATGTTCACTGTCGTACCAGAAATACAGTGGAGCGCTGCATTGGAGTTCTAAAAGCGCGTTGGAGATGTCTATTGGCACACAGAGTACTACATTATGACCACCACATGGTGGCTATGATTATTAATGCCTGTTCTGTATTACATAATATTTGCAATAGACATCGCTTGCCAGTACCACAATTGCCCCATGATGATGTTGAAAATGATTTGAATCATCGAGTTCCACGAACACCTCTAGCTGTGGGTGCTGATGCAGAACAACAGCTCTTGGCCAGTGGGAGACTACAAAGAGACAGAATAGTGCAACGTTTGTGGTCAGCCCCCAGACAATAAATAATACAATTATTTTAATTATATAAAAAATTTATTAAATATATATATATATATATATATATATATATATATATATATATATATATATATAGGTATGTATGTAGATATATATATAAATCTTAGAACATATTTGCTAAAAGTAAATACTGCTTGCAGATTTCCTTATAAAACAAAAAAATAAAATAAAAAATGTAATGTTCAACAGTATTATTTTTATTTTTCTTCCTGTTTTTCTCTGATTAGCTCTATCAGAGCATGGATATTTTCATGTTGCACACGTACTAATTCAACAAGAGATCGCATCGTATCTGCTTGCACCTTAGCTGCTTCGGCTTGTGCTCGCGTAGACTCTGCCATAATAAGAGCAGCCTCTGCAAGCTTGGTCTCTGCATCAACTCTGCGATTCTCTAGTCCTTTTACCCATTCTGGGTCAATTTTAGATTGAACTGAAATAAAATAATATTTTAATTTTATTCAAAACAATACAGTAAAGCATTCATTATTATTATTAAACAAAATTTTCTAAAGTGATCTTACCTGTAGTTTTAGATTTATAAGGGCTATTAAGTCTTCGTGGGCGATAGATATGTGGTCGCGCCACTGGACTATCTAATCCTGTAAAATAATATGATTATAGCTTTATGTATTTTAATAAGGAAACTAATTATTTTTTATTATAAATAAGTATAAGCACCAGTCAGTGGTGGTTCTGTGTTTACGTCCATTTTTACTGATACAGAACCAGTTTCTGGAATTTGGGAAGTGCCTGTGAATAAACAAATAAAAATTGTTAAAAATAAACAAATTAAAATTGTTAAAAATAAACAAATTAAAATTCATTTTTTTCATAACTTACATATAAGCCTTAGCAGATGTATATATGTATGTCATAATAGCTATCCATATGCCTATCAGCTCAATCTGTCCAGTGGTTTGAGCTGAGTATTGATAGATCAGACAGACAATCATCTTTTTGTTGTATATTAAGTTCGAGATATGATATATTATTATAACAGTACTTTTTAGTTTTATAAAAATCATAACACTTACATAGGTTGGATGTTTGACCTCTTGTGGAAGGTGAGGCCACAGTAACAGGCTCTGATAACACCATAATTTGCACATCATCTGCTTTATTATCTAAAATTTATTTATAAGATAATTGAAATTAAAAAAGAATAATATTAAAACTAATACTGAAATATTACAAAAAATATTTAATTGGTACAATTGTGTGACATGCAGTACCACTATTTTAAATGACATTTAAACCAAACCATTACTTAAAGCCTTGAAATATTTTAAGTTAATAAATAATATATATGAATCAGTCTTAGATAAAGTTATAATAAAACAAAATATATTTTCCCAACATCCCATTGCCTGACCCTCACATCACATCACAGATCCTCTTCTAAATAACTTACTTGGTAATTCATATGATGTTGATGGTTCTGGTGTTAACTGTTCACTGATCTAAAAAAGAATAAGTATTTAGTTTTCATAAATAATAATCATATTAAAAAAGCTATCAAAGAAACTTACAAATGGAATTCGGTGCTCAGTATCACCAAACACAGCTTGCTCCCCGATGATAGACAAGATTTTCTTGTCTACCTCGGAGAGGTCATCTTGGCTACAAGGACCACCACCAGTACCCAAAGCATCCCTTCTCCATTTAGCTAGCCTAGCCTTGCTCTTATGCTTAATATCAGCCCAGTACTATAACAACAAAAGTATTTATCACAACGTATAAAGAGCAGTACAGCTCTATCTCATAAATAAAATGTTATTTTCAAGCAGTTTTTCAATTAATATGTTAAAAATGGATCTCTTTTCTATAATATTATGAGAACTTACCTTTTTCCATCGTTGTCCAGATTTCGACGACCCAGAACCATGGGAATTGAGCTTTGTAGCAAGACTGTCCCATTGCTTGTCGACAGCTTCCTTGGATCTTGCTCCAAGCCCAACTCCCTTGGCCAAGGTAGGATGCTCGCTAAGGAACTCTAAGAGTTCTTCGAGCTGGTCGTTCGATACTCTATTAGTATTTGCCATATTTTATAAAAAGTATAAACAAAACAAATTACTACTTAGAATCCAATTAACAAATGTCAATTAGCATTTTTTCACAGATTATATATTAGTTGCTACGTTTTTAGTTTTAATTATCGCTACCAAATTGTTAGTGGCGCTAGTTACATCGCGAAAACTGCATTTGGCGATCAGCGAACGATTAGCGAGCGATCGCTTAGGTAATACGATTATTTTTCACCTAGAGCAATCAATCGCGCGTCTTCTGCGCAATGACTGCACAATTATCGCTGATCGCTTAATTTTAGATAATAAGCCCGCTGGAATTGTTTTATTTCTCTTCTTACTAGCCTGACCCCGACTCGGTTTTAGCATTTTCAAACATTTTATTTACAAACATTCGACCTCTACAGTTTTATTATATGTATGAATAAATGGTACCATATCACGATTTGCAATGTTTAAAATCGATTTGACAAAAGTAGTTAGAAATCGACTTTTTAGATTTTGATACTTTATTAGTTACGTAAGTGATTTTAACATTCCTTATTACATAGCAATAAGGAATATTGAAAATAATAATAAAATATTAATGAAACATTTAGGTCCGTTTCTTGGAGAGTTTGTAATCGTTATGTATTTTTATGTTGATTAAGAATAATTACGCGACCTGAGAATGTTATTTTTCATACAAATGTACATATTACATAATTTTATTGTTTTGTAGGTGTCTGTAAAACATAGGAGTTGATTACAGATTACTACTCCTTATTACGTAAAATGGAGAAGACCCCTTTCCATGCTTTTAGGTATTAATAATAACGAATAATTTAGGAATTAAGGCCTAGGCAATTATGAAGTAAGCATATTATGTACATAGGTACTACAAATATGATAATACAGTGTTTATATATCATTAATTACATTTAAGTGTTATTTTTTTAAGAAAGCCTAAATAAACGAAACTAACACAATAAGCTCAAAATCAAATACATGAATATCAAACCACATGTTCACACAAATAACAAAAACATTTTTTTATAGTTAAAGCAAACACTAACTAATTTATGTTAGGAGAAAAATCATCTATAACAAAATTACTGACCTATGACCCTCATGACGTTACAATTTGACTCACATTAGAATGAGCTTTAAACTGACGGGTAACAAAGCGCGGTGACCTCTGGTACTACCGCGCCGTTTTTCACACGTCACCTTTAGCCACGTCATTTGTACAAGTCCTTCATGAAACTAACAAAATTTGGGATGTGTTTAGCCAACTTTTGAACGTTGCTAACTAAATTTAGAATAGAATGAAAGTTTATTTCTAATATTCTCTGCTTAAAAAAAATACAGTAAAATTAGGGCAAATTCGAGTCTGATTCGCACATTTAAACATAAGATTGTTTAAAGCATAGTTCCTTTCCCATACTTAAAGAAAGAATATTTAGCCATCAACTAAAATACTTATTTTACATTTCCGAATTTCCCATAACTAAAAACTACTCAAAGTATCTTGTTCAAAATATTTTTCATTGAATGTGTTTTGAAAATTCTATTGGCTTAATTTTTTCAGAATTTTCCACAACATAATTAAAAAAAATTAAGATAAGGGAGGTAGGGGTGTTACACATTGTTAACGACATTAGAAGCATTTAATTTGGCAACTATTACCTGGAACCGAAAAGTGACTTTAACGAAATTTTAAACACCTATCTGAATAGGTATCTCTGAGATATCTTACATACTTAATTTAATTTAAATATTTTACCCTTCAATTGGATATTACGAGTTCCACACCTGTTTACGTAATTTCACCGCAGAATTATCTAGCGATTCATATGAGGTACCTATTTATCAAATTTCAGTCATGTACCTCCAATAGTCTCCTAAAAATATGGCTACGACATACAAATAAATAAAATACAAATGTTAATCTTTATATGTTTGTGATTAAAAACCACGGTGTTAGAAACCAGCAATCAATATGTTTTACAATAATGGTGGAAAACAGCGTATAGGAAAAGGTCAAACTCTTTCTATATATATTTTATTATTTTTTGGATTGATATATAGAGTAAGGTTACAACTATTGAAATAAGTAAGGTTTGTATATATTATAACTTTTATTTTAAGGCTTATTTGCTTAAATATTAAAGACGCGTATTTATTTTCGACAAAGTCTTCAACACTACTAACCTCAGAAGACCTAAGAGCAAATCTGTAGCTATTGTCTTAACGTGTTTTACTAGCGACTCACCCTTGCATGTTTTAATTTTTTTGAGCGGAACCATATATATTTTTTTCTAAAAAAAAAATAAAAAATAAAAGTAACCTATGTTACTCCTTATAACATCAAGTATCTTCCAGTTAAAGTCTCGTCGAAATCAGTCCAGCCGATTCAGAGATTATCGGGAACAAACAGACTAACAGACAAAAATTAAAAAAATGTGTTTTTCTTTTATGTACCGTATGATGTAA